ACTCTGGGATCATGACCTGAGCCGAAGGCAGACACTTAACGACTGAGCCACCCAGGCGCCCCCACAGACCAACTTTTAAAATATTAATACTTCTGTTTTTATTTTAATGTGTATTGGAGAAAATATGACATCAAACCCATAATATCACTGATTATTTATTAGGGTGAAGCTGAAGTAAGTATTAGGTTTTTAAAAAGTTGTAGTCTTAAAGAAAAAGTTAATATTGTAGGCAGAACACAGATACGCTAACAGTCATCAAGATGGTAGGAGACTATCTAAAGTTTGAAAATCAGTGGCCACTTTGCCCCCCTAGTTTCCATTATATTTGTCTACTAATTAACAGATCAGTCTCAGTATTTTCATTTCTCTTTCTTGATAAAACCTTCAGGGGCTCATCACCACCTGCCAAATAAAGTCAATCAAATTCTTAGCCTAAAATCAATGTCTTCTAAACCTGGCTCCAGCCTTCCAGTTTTCCTCTACCTCCTGGCTTCCCAAACAGTGCTCAAAAAGTACCAGCTGCATAAGATTTAATGAGTGTCCCAGAAAAGGATTTCATGGTCCAAAAAGTTAGGGAAAGCATTGCATACTATATCCCTCGGAGGTATATTCACAAGGAATTATACGACATTAAAGCCTTTGAGAAAACTTGAGGTAATAAAACTTGTCCATGTTTATGGTAGAACCGTACTTTTGTAGAAACAATGTTTGTGTTTACCAGCTTACTTGATCATCATTGTCAATAACCCTCTCTTATAGATGGTGCATTAATGTCTCCTAGGTCTAGTGTACTAGAGAGGTTGGTTTGAAATATGCTGTTCTATATCCATGTCCCCAACCCCCGACACATACCAACCAAACTGAACCACCCACAGATAGCTATATACCCATTTCACCTTGCGCTTCTAAGCCCTTGGTAATTATTCACTCTGCTTGGGGTGCTTTCTCCTCTCTGTCCTTGTTCTCAAAATCTTTTCAACCAAGCAACCCGATTTCCCACAACAGTAATGGTTCCTATTTCTGAAGTCTTACCACATTCCGCTCTTCCAGCATTTTTTACCACCCAGTATCAGTATCATGGTAGTTGTGTACCTGATCTTTTTTCCTGCTAGATTTTACATTTCTAGGAATTACTGTTTTCCACATAGTGCATTGCTTATAGTAAGAATTCAATAAATATTTGATGAATGAATGATAATAAGGTGAAATTTGAAATAACTTATCTGTAGTAAATAATAGAATTGGAGTTTGAAGGATCTACATGGGGAGAGGGGCAAATCAAATTTTGGTTTCATTGCTTTTTCTCTATTGTTTTTCTATGTTTATTTCATTGATTTGTGAGGTGAGCTTTATTATTTTATTAATTTTTTTCTTCTGTTTACCTAGAATTTAATTTGCTCTTTTTTTCTAGTTGCTGAAGGTAAAAGCTAAGGTCATGAACTTGAGAACTTTCTACTTACATAGGCATTTAATGTCATAAAATTCTCCATAAGGACTGCTTTAGTGGCATTCTCAAATTCTTATGTGTTGTGTTTATATTCATTCAGTTAAAACTACTTTCAAATTTCTTTTTTGATTTCCTCTTTGAACCATGGTTGGGTTTTGTGGGTTTTTTTTTAGAAGTGTGTTGTTTAATTTCCAAATATTTGAGCGTTTTCCAGGTATCTTTCTGTTATTGATTTAAAATTTAATTCCTTTGTAGTCATATAATATATTTTGTGTGTCTTAAATCCTTATAAATTTACTAAAACTTGTTTTATGACCCAGAATAGAACCTGTCTTAGTTAATGTCCATGTGCACTTGAAAAGAATGTTATTCTACTCTCCTTGAGTAGAGTGTTCTAGTAAATGTCAAATCAAGTTGGTTGATGATGTAGTTCAAGTCTTATGTATCCTTAACTGATTTTTTGCCTATTTGGTGTATCAACTATTAAGAGCAAGGTATTTAAATCTCAGACTTGTAATTGAGGATTTATCTATTTCTCCTCACAATTCCATCAGTTTGGGGTCCTGTATTGCAAAACTGTTATTAAGTGTATAAACACTTAGAATGATTATATCTTCTTGACTAATTGACCTTTTATAATTATAAATGACCTTTTTTCTGATAATATTCTTTGCTGTACAATTTACTTTGATATTAATAGAGACAATCCAACTTTGCTTTTGATTAATTTTAGTATATAGTTTTCCATCATTTTACCTTTAATCTAATTGTCTTTCTCGGGTTTTGCATTTTTATCCAATCTGGCAATGTCTGTTTCTTAAGTGGGGTGTTTAGACCATTTACATTTAATGTGATTGCTGATATAGTTAGATTTAAGTCTGTCATCTGCTATTTATTTTCTATTTGTCCCATATGTTCTTTTTTCCCTTTCCCCAGTTTTTTCGAGTTTCTACTGGATTGTTTTTATGAGTCCTTTTATCTCCTTTGTTGGCATATTACCTATAATTCTTTATTTGGTTATTTTAATGGTTACTTAGGGTTTATACTATACATCTCTGACTAAGTCTACCTTCAATTAATATTATACCACTCCACATACAGTGTAAGAACTTCACAATTCCATTCCTTCCTCCCTAGCCTTTATGCTACTGTTCTACATTTCACTTATACATATGTTATAAGCCCCACAGTATATTATTTTTTTGTTAAAAAGAGTTAATTATCTTTTAAAGAGATTTAAGTAATATGAAAAGTCTTACATATTTGCCCATGTAAGTATCATTCCCATTGTCTTCATTCCTTTGTGTAGATCTAGATTTCCATTTGCTATCATGTTCCTTCCTTCTGAAAGACTTCCTTTAATAATTTGTGGAGAACATTAGAGTCAAATCTGTGATGATTAATTCTTACAGTTTTTGGTTTTGAAAGATAATTTCACTGGTGCAGAATTTTAGCTTGACAATTTTTTCTTTCCATAATTTAAGTATGTTGTTTTACTCCCTTCTCATGTGCTTTTTTCCTCCAAGAAATCTGCTGTCATCTGTATCTTTATTTTTTCATACTAATATGTTTTTCCCCCTACATTTAAGATTTTCTCTTTACCTTGGTTTTGAGCAGTTTGTTTATGATGTGTCTTGGTGTAGTTTTCTCTGTTTCTTGTGTTTAGTGTTCACTGAACTTCTTGGGTCTCTAGCTCTTTACTTTTACTCAAATTTGGAAAATTTTGGGCTGTTATTTCTTCAAATATTTTTTCTGTCCCTGCTACAATCTACTTTCCTATAGAGACTCAAATTACATATATATTAGGCAATTTGAAGTTGTTTCACAGCTCATGATCTTTTTTATTTTTTATTTTTTATTTCTTTAAGATTTTATTTGTTTATTTGACAGAGAGAGACACAATGAGAGAGGGAATACAAGCAGGGGGAGTGGGAGAGGGAGAAGCAGGCCTCCCGCTGAGCAGGGAGCCTGATGCGGGGCTCGATCCCAGAACCCTGGGATCATGACCTGAGCCTAAGGAAGACGCTTAACGACTGAGCCACCCAGGCGCCCCTCGTGATCTTTTTTAGATGGTTTCTATTGCTATGTCTACAAGTTCAGTCATCTTTTCATCTGTAATATCTAATCTGTCATTAATTCCATCTAGTGTATTTTTCATCTCACATATACTTTTCATATCTAGAAGTTCAATTTGGGCCTTTTTTATATCTTCTGTCTCTACTTAACTGTTGAAGCATATGGAATGCAATTATAATAACAACTTTAATACTCTTTTCTCCTAATTTAATATCTGTGTCAATTCTGGGTTTTGAGTCATTGATTATCATTCTCATTATGGCCCATGTTTTCCTGTCCCTTTGCATGCCTTGTAATCTTTGATTGGATGTCGGACTTTGTGAATTTTACCTTGTTGCATGCTAGCTGTTTTTGTATTCCTATACATCCTTGAGTTTTGTCTTATGGGGCAGTTAAGTTACTTAGAAATGGGCTGATCCTTTTAGGTCTTATTTTTACGCTTTGTTAGGTGAGTCTAAGCAGTGCTCAGTCTAGGGGTAATAATTTCACACTACTGAAACAAAACCCTTCTGAGTGCTTTACCCAATGCATTATGAATTATGAGTTTTCCAGTCTGTTTGGTGGGGACAGGCATTGCCAGCCCTGAGTGAATGCCAGACACTGTTCCTTTCAATATTCTTAAAGGATTCTTTCCCCAGACTCAAGTATTTTTCTTATACACATGCTGATCAGTATTTTCTCCCCATATTGTGAGGATCCCTCTGCTAATCTCCAGGATCCTCTCTCTGTACATCTCTATCCTCTCCAGTAAGCTATCCTATGAACTCTAGCTACCTTGTTCTCCCCAGATCCTCAGCTCTAGTTTTTCAACTCAGAGAGTCTACCTGGTTACTTCTGTGTTTCCAATCCTTGCATGTCCTAGAAACTTTCTCAAAGTGATAAGCTGGGGTAATCATGGGTCTCACTTTGTTTCTTTTATCCATTGATCAAATCTGATATCCTGTCTCTTGAAAACCATTGTTCCATAGTATTTTTGTCTGTGTGGAGTTTTTGTTGTTGTTGTTTTTTGTTTTTGTGTGTTTGTTGGTTGGTTGGCTATTTCAGGCAAGAGAATAAATCTGGTCCCTATTACCCCATCTTGACAAGAAGTAAAAGTTTAATAAGTCATTTTTTCACTGCTTCAAGGTTAGTTGGGGTTCAGGTGATCTAATATGGGTTCTTTGAGAGTTGTTTGGGCTTGCTTGCCTGATTTCTCCTGTATATACATATATAAAATACATATATAAATATGTATATTTTAGTGAACAAGGAATGTTTGGTTTAGTTAAAAGTGGAAATCAGCCTGAAAGTTTTACGAAGAAGTTAATACTAGTTCTCAGGATCTTTTTGGATGGAGTGCTACTAATTTCAAAGAACTCACATGTAGAGTATTGAAATTTTCCTAGATCTAGCCTCAGTCTCTAGGAAAAATGTGTATTTGTATAAGTAAGTACAGAAATTATCACTTAACACCTTTATTTTCTTATTTAAAAATTAGAGGACAATGTATATAAAAATATGCAAGAATCCAAGGAAACCCCCATATCCAGTCACCTAGATGAAATTGTTGCAGCTGTCAGCGTAACGCCTAGAAAGAAGATCCAAAACAAGCTGCCGCAGACAGCGCTATTCCAGCCTCCTCGAGAGAAACTCCACCTCTGTGAAGAGAAAGCAAAGTCCTACTCTAGCAATCACGAAGTAAGGACCCTTCATTTTCTATACCTGCACTCTGGTAACTGATGAGAGTTTAGGTTACATTTCTACCCTCAGGAGTTTGGCACAAGAGAATATATGGAGTACCTTTCTCACAGAATGAGTGGGTGTAGCTCCCCAGGGCTCCAGGCACAGCATTTGGCACAGTCAACACCATACTTGCTGAATGAATGCACAAATGGACAAACAGGTTTACCCTGACCTCTGGCAAGCGTACACTAGACCAGTTGGTTATAGGTTTGACCTACTGCAGTCTTTTTCCATCAGTGTATACATATTTATTGCGCTCTCCCTAGTGCCGGGTCTAAGCACTGGAATCTAACACAAAGCAGATGAAACTTCTATAGAGCTTACAATTCTTAGGTTTTTGATCTTCTTGTTTTCTGCATACACCTTTCTCATTCTCTCCTCAAAGTTTTACTCATTCACTCGCTCATTCAATATGTATTTCTCTACCACCACTTATGTGTTGGGTCCTGTGTTGTTTGAGCGTGCAGCTCTTGATTTTGGCTCTGGGTCCTGGGATGGAGGGCTCCTTGCTCAGTGAGGAGTCGGCTGGAGATTCTCTCTCTCCTGCTGCCCCTCCCCCTCTGTCTCTCTCTCTTTCAAATAAATAAATAAATCTTTAAAAAATAATAATCCCAGCAAGGAATTATAAGAGCCTGAACTACAACAGAGGCAGGCGAGATGCTAAGATCTGACAGGAATTTGGAAATGTGAATCAGTGGGGACTGGTGATTAAGGGGACATAGGAGTTGTAGAGGCAAGAGCCAATCACAGGGGGTGTATACAATTCATGACTTACGTCTCAGCCAGTTTGGGTGGTGGGAAGCTTGCCAGTGCCTTTACCATTGTAATGAAGACAGGAGGAAGAGCAGGATTATGGAGAGGAGACGTGAATTTGGTTTTGAACATGTGCTTATTCATTATGCAGCACATATTTATTCAGTACCCACTACGTGCCAAGCTCTGTACTAGGTAGGCAGTAGGCTGGCAGCCTTTCTCAACCAGAGTTCTGCAGAATTAAGCCTGAATGCCCCAAAGCATTTACTGTCCATAAAGAAGTAACATCTCTTCTGTGGATCTGGAGTGGTACTAAATCAGCATAGACAGGTTGAATGCCCTCATGTTGCTGAGGGGCAATCGACATTGTAAATACACTAATGAGCTAGACGTTGTATCAAGTGCTGTTAGGGAAAGAGCGGGCCTGTCTACGAAGAGGCGACATATGAGCTGAGACCTTAAGAAGTGAAGGAGCCAGTATGGAGGAGCTAAGGGAAAAGAGTTTCAGGGAGAGGGAACAGCACATGTAAAGTCTATGAGGTGCGCACGAGTGTGATGTGTTTGGAGTAAAAGAGAAGACCATGGTCTGATGTGAAATGCAGCTGGAGAGGCAGGGAGTTCACTTAGGACCTCGCAGGTCTCCAGCTGAGTGTCCTGGGAGGCCTTAAAAGTGTTTGCAGGAAAGTATTAACATGATGTAATTGGCTTTTTAAAATTTCTATTTTTTTCTACTTTTGAATTTTAAAATATTTTCAGACTTACAGGAAAGTCTACAAGATTCACCAGTCTTTAACGTTTGCATTATGGCTTTATTTGTCTGTGTACATGTCATTATTTTTTTGAACTGTCTGAGAGCAAATTATAGATATTATGGTCCTTTACCCCCTGAATATCTTGGAGGATACTCTCCAGGTAACCACGGTACAGTGATTAAAGTTAGGAAACTAACATTGGTACAATATTATCATCTAACCTACAAACCTTATCCATATTTCTCAAATTATCGCAATCATGTCTTTGGCAGAAAAAAAAATCAGATCCATGCTCTGCTCCATCAGATTAAATTATTTCCAAGGCTCATCCCAGTTATGAAAAAGTCTGCCTACTTGTACTTCTCTCTTCTCTACCTCCTCCCCATGCCTGTTGGATGAAGCCACCGGAACTGGCAGAATAAAGATCAGAAAGCCAAAGGGACATTTGAACTTTGTGTTCTAGCAAGTAAGAAGGTGGAGGGAGGACAGGCTGCTCTTCTCTACCCCTGTCCCAGTTGCAGGTAGTGAGGACCAAGGCTATGATTGGGGGGTAGGGGGGTGGGGGGAGCTGACTTCCGATCTACATAGCCTCCTTCTTAGAAATCTGTGGTTGGGGGCGCCTGGGTGGCTCAGTTGGTTAAGCAACTGCTTTCGGCTCAGGTCATGATCCTGGAGTCCCTGGATCGAGTCCCGCATCGGGCTCCCTGCTCGGCAGGGAGTCTGCTTCTCCCTCTGACCCTCCCCCCTCTCATGTGCTCTCTCTCTCATTCTCTCTCTCAAATAAATAAATAAATAAAATCTTAACAAAAAAAAAAAAAAGAAATCTGTGGTTGGGATCAGGTCCTCTCTCTTTTCGGTGGACTATCTCTCTAGACTCCCCAGTGTTTTCATCATTTCTTTCTTTTTCATACACTATTCATTTGCTGTCTCCCCGCGGAAGCCATTCCCTTAACTCCCAGCATTAGTTGGGCTCCATCTGCCGAGAGAGAACCCGCTGCCGAGATTGCTCACGCCTATTTTTTTGACTGGTTGGTGTCGGCTCCTGGTGCCTTTCTACCTGGGCCTCTCCGTGGGACCAGGAGGCTTCCTCATGGCATGGTGGTAGGGTTACCAGTTTGCTGGGGCTGCCATAGCCAAATACCCCAGACTGGCTTCAACAACAGAAGTTTATTTCCTCAGAGTTCCAGAGGCTACAAGTCCAAGATCAGAGTGTTGGCAAGGTTGATGGCATTGGAGGCTTAGCTTGCAGAGGGTGTCCTCTCGCTGTCCCCACTTCTTTCTTTGTGCATGCCTCTCCCTGGTGTCTCTTCCTCGTCTTTTTTTTTTTTAAAGATTTTATTTATTTATTCATGAGAGACAGAGAGAGAGAAAGAGAGAGAGAGAGGCAGAGGGAGAAGTAGGCTCCCTGCTGAGCAGGGAGCCCGATGCGGGGCTCGATCCCAGGACCCTGAGATCATGACCTGAGCTGAAGGCAGTCGCTTAACCGACTGAGCCACCCAGGTGCCCCCACTTTAGACTTTTAGCTAAAGTCATCCCATTGTTGTTGTTTGTCCTTGTTGTTTTAAGGTAATTCACATAACGTACCATTTTAAAATGTACAGTTTAGCAGCATTTGTTACATTCACCATGTTGTGCAACCATAATCTTTATTTAATTGCAAGACTTTTTTTTTTTTTTTTAAGATTTTATTTATTTGACAGAGAGAGACACAGCGAGAGAGGGAACACAGCAGGGGGAGTGGGAGAGAGAAGCAGGCCTCCTGCGGAGCAGGGAGCCCGATGCGGGGCTCAATCCCAGGACCCTGGGATCATGACCTGAGCCGAAGGCAGACGCTTAACGTCTGAGCCACCCAGGCGCCCTCTTCCTCGTCTTATAAGGACATCAGTCACACTGGAGTAGGGCTCTACCGTAACAATCTCATTTCAACTTACGGCTTTAAACGTCGACTTTACCCCTTCTCTCCATATACTGTCCCATTCTGAAGTACTTGGGCCTCCAAAATTTGGGTTTGGGGAGTGGGGGCCCACAATTCAGCCCATAAAAGGTTCTAAATAGAATCAGAAAGTGGAAGCCTCTAGTTCCTTAAGGTGTGGGCCCCCAAACCTGGTACCACATCATTTCCTCCATATTCCATCAGCCAGTCATAAAGCCCAGATTCAAAGGGAAGGAGACCTAGACCCGCACCGCTGGACGGAAAGAGGGAATTCTGGAGTGACATTTTAAAACTACCAGCCTCGCTTTGAATGTATTGCTACTCTGAGCTGACCTGGAGCTGGAGAGGCCAGCTCCCTGTTCTCTTTGTCCTGACACTGAATATAAATGGACTTCTCACTCCTTTAGTGAAATCTGTTTGTCAGTCCTGCCAACCTCATTGCCATGCTGATATCCTAGGCTGCTAAGAAGGGTATTTGAATTGAGAACTAGCGAGTGTTATTTCGAAACCCACTACCACCTTGCCCACTGGTGCCTGAATGGTGTTCATAGCTGGGCAGCTGGAAACCCTAGGGAATGACAAGTCTGCTCTAGTTTTTCTATGTCTTCTTGATTCATTATATTTTTCATAATGTACTACAAGCTTAAATGTTTTAGAAATTGAAATGTATTATAAATTTTACTTGTTTCTGCCATTTATTGTCTATTTCACCCCACCCGATTAACAGCCCACCACCCAAAACAGATCTTTGCCTGTTTTGTTCTCTGATGGATCCCAAGTGCTTACAACCATGTCCCGCATATACTAGGCACTCAGGAAGTACACACTGGATAAAAGCGCAAGTTGACTTTGTGCTTTGTGACTGCGTTTTCAGTTGTCTGACGAGTAAAGCCCATTTTCTCTCATCGCAGTATAAAGAGGCTGTCCATGAGCTGGTGCGCTGCATAGCGCTGACGAGAATTTGCTACGGCGCCTCCCACTGGAAACTAGCGGAGGCACACATTAGTCTGGCTCAGGGCTACCTCCAGCTGGAAGGTGAGTTCCTCCCAGATGAGGGTGGAGGGGGTGGGGATTAGTCCATGGGTCTCTGCTCTTTCATGGAAATTTGACTCCCACTTACCTAGAAGGATTCATTAGGTTTTCTTGAATATTCTCCTGTCCACACATTGAAGAGCCATCTCCTTTCAGAAAGAGTCAATGAGATTTTTTCTATGATACCTAAAAAAGAGAAGGAAGATTTTAGCCCTTTGGATGGCTTTGGAGGACCCTTTTTTAAAATTTAAATTCAATTAATTAACATATAATGTATTACTGGTTTCAGAGGTAGAGGCCTATGATACATCAGTCTTATATAACACCTGGTGCTCGTTACATCACGTGCCCACCTTAATGTCCATCACCCAGTTACCCCATCCCCCTCCTCCCCTCCAGCAGCCCTCAGTTTGTTTCCTATGATTAAGAGTCTCTTATGGTTTGTCTCCCTCTCTGGTTTTGTCTTGTTTTATTTTTTTGGAGGACCCTTTTTTATGATCTTAAAAGTAAGGTTCTTGGGAGAGAATTTGTTAGCTTGGAAGGCATTGTAGGAGGGGCCCAATGCATGGAGTAGGTGCCTAAAATAGGATCCAGCCACATTTGTTTTGATGGAGAATCGCTTTCCTGTAAGTGACCCCTCCCCACCCCCCCAAAAAAATACATAAATAAGAGACTAAATCAAGCTGGCAGTGAACAAAAGGTAATGTATTGTCTTATACAACTTGAAAAGTGAAGGGTAAAACTTGCTGTAGACTTAGCCAGATCCGGGCGTTCAAACGATGTCATCAGTTCCGTGTTTCTCTCTTATCCCACCGCTTGGTTCTGTTTTTCTCTGTATGGACTTCATTCTTACCCAGGCTCTGCCCACGTGGCAGCAGCAAGTCTTGCAGAAGCTGTAAACTTCCCTCATCAGCATTCCCAGGAAAGAAAGAACATCTTTCCCCCCAAATCTCAGGATCTGGGGGTTCTTATTGGGCTGACTTGGATGGTATGTCAAAGGCAAGGAATAGTCTGATTGGCTAGATCTGCCTTTTGGCTCCACTGGATCCTGGGGGACAAGCTGGCCTTGGTAAATTGAATGGATTGGGTGTGCAGGGGCCAGGTGTCCCCAGAAGAAAACAGAGGAAGGGGGATAGACGCAGGGAAGGATAGCATGTCTTCTCCTTTTGACTAGGCATCCTAGGATGGCTGTATAAGAGTACGTCTCTGTACTCCTTTCTTCAACTGAAAAGCAATGATAGTGATGATGGTGCTACTTAACTTCCCAGGATTGATCCAGTGAATACATAAAATAACAAGAAGTGGGAAACACCAGCAATGCTCAGCACAGAATTGCCACCCAATAAATTTGGCTAAATCTGATTATCGACTGGTCCTACCTATTAGATCAAAGACTGTTGGAGCCAGAGGGGACCCTGGAGATCATCTAGTTCAAACCCTAACCCCCTCCTATATTTTTAGATTCAGAGGGAACGAGTGAGCTGGAACAGCTTGCCCCAATTTACACTGTTAGTATGTAGATGATCCGAGACTCAGACCTAAGATTTTGCATGCCAACACCAGTGGCCTGGCATCTGGGATTTCAAATGATGCTTTTCTTCCACAGCCTGCTACCTTTTTGCATGATAGTCTTTCTTTCTCAATTTAAAGTGAAAGCAGCATCTACTCTTCCTTAAGTTCTTATTGAATGCCAGGCACCATGCTAACTATCTCCCACGCATGTTCTCATTCATTCTTCATCACAATCCTATAAGGGGGGTAATATTATCATCACTGTTTACAGTTGAGGGAGCTGAAGCCAACATTTCAGAGTAAGTGGTAGTTCAGGGAACTCATTCTGGGCAGTTTGATGTCAGAGCTGGTGTTTTTAAACCTCAACCCACACTGCCTCCTGTTGCCTGAGTTCCTTGAGGGAATGTACCAAAGTTGATAATACAGTGCGCCTTTATCTTTTGTAATATTGCATATTTAATTGGCAATAATAAATTTCTCGTAGGTTGATTAAATGTGTGCTTTAAAAAAATTAGACAAAATTCTCTGAAGTAGTGAGCACTGGGTGTTGTATGCAACTGATGAATCACTAAATTCTACCTCTGCAACTAATAATACAGTATATGTTAATTAAATTGAATTTAAATTAAACATTCAAACAAACAAACAAAAATTAGACAAAATTCTCTAAGAGTTCCCACATGGAGAACATACCCTGGATTTTTTCCATCTGAAGATATATTATTCTGTTTTGTAGACACAGGAACAGAATTAATTTCAGATTTTTGGCAGCTTTTTTAGAGATTTGAGATACTATTTCATATAATGGAAAAACATAAGACCAGGGGTGTATGGATGTGGGTGGCAGAGAGGATGTCAGTGTGGGGGAGGAGGATGGGAGTGTGGGGAAGTGAAAAGCCCTGAAACCTGACCGGTGACCGCCCCCCCCGCCCCCGCCGTCTCCCTTACCGCAAATTAATAAGCCATGGAAGAACTCTGGAGCGCACTGGGGGATTAGAGCTTGGTAGTGATTATTTTTCTCATTGTTGTCCCATTTTGTTTCATGTTAGTCAATAACCTTATAGGAATAAGAGATTGTGGCATATTAGCCCATTCTGTCATTGAAATTATATTTGTAAGTTTTTGTAGATTATCACTGTATTTGTATTCTGTTAAAATAACTCTCTGAAGTTATGATTATAGACAAGCAGAAGATTCAGAATTTTTAGTATTTCATTAAGATCGCTGTCACAAAGCCAGAATTGAAATTCATGAATATCTTATTTCCTGCCCAGAATGCTATAGTCCTTGCATTCCATTTGTTTTCTTATAATTATTTAGAACATATTTTATATCTGATATTGGTGAGGTTTCAAAGTTGTTCAGTTCCCGCTCGTTCTGTTTACTTCTAGAAAGGCCATTTGGGGAAAAATTTATCTTGAGTACTAGGTGCAAACCACTCCTTTGGTTTTTACAGTCAGGACAATATTTCATGCCGCCCTGATCCATCTCTATGCGTCACTTGCCAATACGTGAAGGAGACCTCGTTCGATTTCCCAGCCAGAGATAATTATAGTGAAAGAGAAACTGAGACCGCTTTTTCTTTGTCCACAGGACTGTCGCTGCAAGCAAAGCAACATGCAGAAAAAGCCAAAGAAATCCTCACCAACTCCATTGTGCCTCCCTATAACGACAATACAGATGTTTTCAAGTGTTCAATTGAACTGTTCCATACCATGGGGAGAGCCTTACTCTCCCTTCATAAGTATCCTTTTGTTCTAATCATTCCACCTAGAAAAGCCCCCCATAATGCTTATATTTAATTTTCTTTTTTTTTTTTAAGATTTTATTTCTTTGAGATAGAAAGAAAAGAGAGAGAGAGCATGCGCAGGAGGCAGAGGCCGAGGGGGAAGCAGACTCCCTGCTGAGCAGGGAGCCTGAAGCAGGGCTCAATCCCAGGACCCTGAGATCACGACCTGAGCCAAAGGCAGACGCTTTTAACCGACTGAGCCACCCAGGCGCCCCTTATTTTCAAGGCCAAATCAAAAAGTGACAAATGGCTCAGGAAGGGTGATGGGAAGTTTAAGAGCCAAGGATGTCCAGGAACTGGGGCCCCAGAATCTAGAGCCATATGTGAAGTTTCCTGAACACAACCCAGATTTAAGGAAGCTTCAGAGAATTTGTCAAAGGCAGAGCAACTTGCAAAGGAGCTGCTGCAGTGTGGAAGGATTATAAAGGAGGAATGGATAGAAATTCAAGCACGGATCAAATTGTCATCTGCACAGTAAGTTTCCAGTTTAGGACATTTTGAATACATCATGGCCGGAGGTTCTCTGCCAGAACAGTCTGTCTTCAGGCAGAAGGAGCTTCTCCATGGTGCTGTGTCCGTGGCTCTCCGTGGCCGTTGTCCAGAAGCAAAAGAGGACCATGGTCATGTCACAGCAGCCACAACCAAGGCACATACATCAGTGACATTTTTTTAAAAAGATTTTATTTATTTATTAGAGAGAGCACGTGCACGTGCACACAAGAGAGGGAGAGAGAGACAGAGCAGGAGGAGAGGGAGAAGCTGGCTCCTCCCAGGACCCTGAGATCATGACCTGAGCCGAAGGTAGATGCTTAACCGACTGAGCCACCCAGGCATCCGCATCAGTGACTCTGTTCACTAAATAATGTGGTGCTGATACATCCACCCCTGGGTCCTAGAGTTCTGATGTCATTCTCTTGACTTTCTGTTTCTTGTCTGCTCTCCTGGACCCCCTCCTCTGTGTTTAAATCACCATGTATTTCGTACCACAGAGAGGAAGGAGATATTTATTACATGCATAACTGGCAGAGAGCTCATATCTAGAATCTGTAAAGAACTCCTATATATCAATAAAACAAAGACAAACAATAGAAAAGCAGGCAAGAGACTTCACAAAAAAAAGGATGCCCACATAGCTAATAAGCATTCTAAATATTCCACCTCATCAGTCTTCAGGGAAGTGAAAATTAAAGTCATGAGCTACTACTACAGCTCCACTAGAATGGCTAAAGTTTTTTTTAAATCTTTTTTTTAGCCAACATATAGCACATAAGTTTTTGATGTAGTGTTCAGCGATTCATTAGTTGTGTATAACACCCAGTGCTCATCACCACACGTGCCCTCCTTAATACTTAATGTCCCATCCCCCCACCCCCTCCCCTCTGAAACCCTCACTTTGTTTCCTGGAGTCCAGAGTCTCTCATGGTTTGTCTTCCTCTCTAATTTCTTCCCATTCAGTTCCCTATGGTCCTCCGCACTATTCCTTATGTTCCACATATGAGTGAAACCATATGATAATTGTCTTTCTCTGCTTTACTTATTTCACTTAGCATAATCCCCTCCAGCTCCATTCATGTCTATGCAAATGGCAGGTATTCATCGTTTCTGATGGCTGAGTAATATTCCATTGTATATATGGACCACATCTTCTTTATCCATTCATCTGTTGAAGGGCATCTCGGCTCCTTCCACAGTTTGGCTACTGTGGACATTACTGCTATGAACATTGGGGTGCAGGCGGCCCTTCTTTTCACTACATCTGTGTCTTTGGGGTAAATACCTAGAAGTGCAATTGCTGGGTTGTAAGCTTGGCTACGTTTTTTAAAAGACTGATAATAATATCAAGTGTTGGTAAGGATGTCCGGCTCTTAGAGGCTTTCTCGTATGTCGTTGTTTAGAATATGTTTGGTATAACTACTTTAGAAAACTGGCTTTATCTTCAAAATAGTAATGTTCATCTGCTCTATGACACAGCAGTATCACTCATAAATAGAACAGAAATGCACATATATGTTCACCAAAAGACAGCCAAGAATGTCCAAAGCTACATTATTTGTAAAAGCCAAGAATCAGAAACAATCCAACTGTTCACCAAAGCAGAATAGATAAAATTGTGATCTGTTCGTACATAGGAAATGATGAGACTGCTCCTTTGCTTCACATCAGGGATGACTCTCACAAACATAATGCGTCGTGCAAGAAGCCAGACCCAAAGAGAGGAATCACTGGGAGGGCCTGTCAGTCCAGAATTTCTTCCCACCCAGAAGTAGGTATTCTATCTTGTATTGTAAGAGAGGAAAGAAGCAACTCGGAGGTCCCAGATCTGATACTTGTTGCATCTGTTGAAACCTAACCAATGTTACGAGAACTTAATGTCCAGCGGTATTGCTTCAAAAAGAGGGTAAACAAACTCTCCTTGGCCAGAATCCGGCATCTCCTCTAAGAATTCTTTCCAAATAGCAGTACCAAATCTTGCCAGCAGATGGCGCGCCTCGTACACATCTACCCACCAAGAATGGTGGCTCAGTCGTTTGGCGTCTGCCTTCGACTCAGGTTATGATCTCAGGGTCCTAGGATCCAGCCTCGCATCGGGCTGCCTTCTCCGTGGGAAGCCTGCTTCTCCCTCTCCCACTCCCCCTGCTTGTGTTCCCTCTCTCGCTGTCTCTGTCAAATAAATAAATAAAATCTTAAAAAAAAAAAAAAAAAGAACGTAAGTCAATGTTTCCAGCTGTCGTACAAAGTTACTTTATATCTAGCTGAGTTGTTTTAAACTTCACCACTTCTTTCAGTCCTGGTTCTTCGCAGTGACATAGTCACTGGAACTTGCGTGTTTCAATGGCATGGTTTTCATTTGATCACTCTGCCTCATTTCCTCATTGAGTTATGAATATTTTGCCTACACAGAGCTGCTTTAGAAATGTATGAGGCTTTGTTTTTGTACATTTCAGCTTATATTCACAACCCCAAGGGCCTTTTCTTTTAGCAGGTCTTGATTGCAGAAGACCAGGATAATGTCTCAGGCAGCTCTCACGGGATTTGTGTTCCTCTTAAAAGGGTATCTTTCATGCATCCTCCTCCTCCTTCTGCCTCGCCTTTTATGGTGTCCATCAGGCCAGGCCAGTTCTTTTCTCCTCGGGCTGACAGATGAATGCTGCCGGGTGACTCATGGTCCGTGCCTTCTATCCCTAACTGTGGGCTGAAGTGTTGTCCCTTTTACCTGACCTCCTCTGTTCTAGCACTACTTCCTATTCACTAATCATTCATTAACTTTGGAGACTAAGTCCAAAACATGTCCCTATGCAACCCCTTGTTTTTTCTAAATGTGATCAAGAAACTCGCTAGTGAATATGGGCAAACCCTTCCCCTGTGTTAAGAATTATTTTCTGCCCCAGTTACTGCTGCTCCAGAACATGTGACCTGTCTAGGATTTCCCTAGGACCGTGTGACAGGTCATCTTTGGAGTACTCCACAGCTTGCTCGGTGAGCACTTGGCCTGGTGTTGCTGTGCTGACTAGCTCAGTGCACTTGGGATAACTAGAGCATCAACAGGACATCTCCTGTATCTCGAAGGAACGGGACGTGGTGTAGTCAACAGTGTGGGCTTTACAATCAGGTAGCCCCGAGTTCAAATCAGCATCCATTCCACCCTCCCAGCTGTAGGACTATGGGCAAGTCCCCCACTCTCCTCTCCTGTTAAGGTAGGAATGATCAGACCTCCAAGGTTTGCCATGATGATGAAATAGACCGCACATTAAAGCATCTGGGTACATGGTGGAGGAGGGGTAGAGGGAGAGGAAGAGAGAGAATCTTAAGCAGCCTCCATGCCCTACATGGCACAGATTACCTTCATATCCTTTATCTGCTTTCTATTTCTTCAATCCCTTAAAGTCTTAAATTTCAGAGCGCTGTATTTTTCTCGTTCCCTTTCTAACACTACCGCCTTATAATACACATTTCTTTACACAACTACAAATAATAACGATGATACTAGGCAACCACACCAGCCACTGACTCTTGACCACCTTCTGTGTCAGGCTCTTGCAAGGCGCCTTTTAGATCTGGTCTCATTTAGTCCTATGTGCTGGGCACTCTTCCTAGTACCGTTTTCAAATGGAGCAACCGAGGCAGGGCTGGATCTCATGACCCTGAGATCATGACCTGACCTGAAATCAAGAGTCAGTTGCCCAACCAACTGAGCCACCCAGGTGCCCCAAGATTTTATTTTTTTAAGTACTCTCTGCACCCACTGTGGGGCTCAAACTCATGACCCTGAGATCAAGAGTGGCATGCTCTACAGACTGAGCCAGCCAGGAGCCCTGGTAGACCCTTTTTAAAAAGTAGTTATTATAGTTACTATCCAGTGGAACATTTCTCTTTGTGCTGTTTCATCTTGGAAACAGTTTGGTTTTAAAGCATGTGCTTATATCGCAACTAAGATTCTGTACTTCAAGGCTGCCCCTGGAATGCAATATTCTTTCCTATTCTTATCCTATGACTTGGGAAAGGCTAAGCACTCTTTGTCTTTACTTTTGTGAACCACCTACGTTAAAATTAAGATAGGCTTATGTTTGTTTGTTTGTTTTTAAGCTTGACTTTGTTTCTTTGTCTTGCTTCTCCTTGATCCATTATAGTCATGAGATTTGGAAAGTGATTCTAACATAAGCTTTCCCAAGAGGAAAGGAGATGAGGAAGTTTCCTCCCTTGGCCGGGACTTCCTGGGAAGGGGTAGAAGGTAATGGAATAAACAGTGGTATGTGGGACCTCGTGTGTATCTACCTGCCACCACCTCACTGGGATGCTGAAATTCGACTTAGTTCTATAGGCTTCCCCATAAAGTATCCCCAGTGGCTTTTATTGAGAATTTTTGATACTTCAGTAATCACCTTTACTCTCTTGCTTTTAGGTCCTACAGTGTTCAAACCAATAATCTCTAAATCTTACTTTCAGGACTCAACCGGTTTTTGTTTTGTTTTGTTTTGTTTTAAGTTTATACCATCATGTGGAGGTCCTTGGTGTTAAACTTATACCTCTGTAGATGTGTTTCTTTAAAGAATCACCTTCTCGGGGCAGCTGGGTGGCTCAGTTGTTAAGCATCTGCCTTCGGCTCAGGTCATAATCCCAGGGTCCTGGGATCGAGCCCTGCATCGGGCTCCCTGCTCAGAGGGAAGCCTGCTTCTCCCTCTCCCACTCCCCTTGCTTGTGTTCCCTCTCTAGTTGTCTCTCTGTGTCAAATAAATAAATAAATAAAATCTTTAAAAAAAAAAAATCACCTTCTCTACATCTCTTTTTTGAGTATAAAGGCTCTGACAAATGCTCATGTGTCCAAAGCCCTGCTTCTCTCCTCCTCCGGGAAATGCCCTGTTCTTTTCCCGAGATGTTTCTCCTGTCAGCTCCTCCCATGGGACACTATTTGCCTGGCATGCCTTATGCTTGTTTCACAAGGAAATGATTTATTTTTTTCCGGTGCTCTTCTTTGT